TTTAACCTGTTGTTTGCAAGCTCATCCATCTCCAGCGTTAAGTATTGTGATAATATCGTATCGTGGGATGTATGGTGATTCCCACCTCTAGTAAAAAGAAAAGTACTTAACTTGCGAGAAACCACCTCTGTCCTCCGATCCAGCGATTTGAATTCTTTGCATTTCAGGATACTGTTCTTTAATGAACGGTAAGCATTATACATATTGTTCTTGCAACATTGGAATTTCATAATTGAATCGCTTGGCTTGCAGAAGTGTTACGTCCCAACAAGGTGATTGGTCACTTGCACTGTTGAACCTGGAACAACATTTATTATGATGATGTGGGAACAACACCAACACGACAATATCAGATCATCCCAATGTCTTATGACTCCCACAATGTAGTTAAAGGACTATAATTTAATCTCTCTTCACTGCCCACTTCTTCTGCCTCTCCAGCTTCCACCTGTCAGAAGAAAATGCCTACAAGGAAAATCTTGTCAAGTCCCAGTTTGTGGCCTGCATGGCCACATGCCACTCACTTACCAAAATAGAAGGCCAGCTGTCTGGAGACCCGCTGGACCTCAAAATGTTTGAGGCTACAGGCTGGGTGAGTTCATCTGTATCTATCCATAGAGTTATGAGACTCATGAATCCATTTTGTGATGCAGTGTCCTCTTTATTCTCCCTTCTCTGTCAGTATTTACGCTGGATACAAGTTTGCTAAACTGGGCATTATCGCATCATTGCTTTATAACATGATTCATGTATGCATTCCAATCATGTTGATGGCTCGAGATTAGAAAGGTCTTCTTTTCGTCCGGTTCGATCCCCGGGCTCTCTTTCCTGGTCGTTGTGTCCTTGGGCAAGACACTTTACCCTACCGCCTACTGGTGTTGGCCAGAGGGGCCGATGGCGTGATACGGTAGCCTCGCTTCTGTCAGTCTGCCCCAGGGCAGCTGTGGCTACAACCGTAGCTTGCCTCCACCAGTGTGTGAATGTGAGAGTGAATGAAGAGTGGCATTGTAAAGCGCTTTGGGTGCCTTGAAAAGCGCTATATAAATCCAATCCATTATTATTATTATTATTATTATTATAACCTGACACAAAAACATCTGCATGATTCCAATCATGTTGATGGCTCAAGATTAGAAAGGTCCTCTTCTTTTGTACTAATCTAGTGTACGAGTTTTAGATTATATACAAAAGCTGCGCTGTTCTGTCTTTGGCATGTCTGGATAAGATTATTCAAAGTAAATGTTGCCTCTGCCTAAAAGACACGTAAGCATTATTTCAATGTCTTAATGTTGCACATCTAAAAAGCTTCTTGGTATGAAATGTAAACATTTACTTATATTTACCTGCCCAGATCCTGGAAGAGGCTACCGAGGAGGAAACGTCTCTTCATAATCGCATCATGCCCACTGTCGTTCGACCGCCTAAGCAGCTGTTGCCCCCGGAGCCTGCTGTAACACCAGAGCAGGACATGGTATGTACAGCAACCCGGTTGTTAGCAGGACACCACAGGCCTTCAGAGTCTAGAAAAAGTATAAAATTATATGAATATATCTGTCCAGCATCTAAACGTGCATTTTTTGTGTGTGTCCATGTTATTATAACATTAAAAAGAAGAGTGTATTTTTACTCTAAATGACTGGTTTATTTGTTGTTGTGTGTTTGTTTTGTTTTTATAGGAACTCTATGAGCTCTCGGTAAGTAGTAGTTGTATTTCTTTTCATGCCTGTCAAAGTTAACTGTTCATTTCATTTTTATTTATTTATTTTTTTAAAGAGGGTAATTTAGTAATGTGAATATTTGTGTTTTATTCATTTCTATAGTGCCTTTTTGTATAACTGGTATACTTTTAACTCGATTTTAGCATCTCATCTTTCTCTTTCTAATAAATAATTTTATTTTGTTTGTCTTTACGTGTGCATATGCAGGCAGCCTATGAGATTGGTATTGTGCGCCAGTTCCCTTTTTCTTCAGCGCTCCAGAGAATGAGTGTAGTAGCTCGTCTCCTCGGGGAGAAACGTATGGATGCCTACATGAAAGGTGCACCAGAGGTTGTGACTAGTCTCTGCAGAAGAGAGACGGGTGAGGTGTCCGAAATGTAGAGATGTGCATGTTGTCTTACAATTTGTTTTATTTTTTTCTTTTATACATTTTTCTACAAATGTATCTTTGTCCTGGTATATCAATGATTTTGTCCCAAAAGTGGATTCTGTTCATCTGGAAACTGTTTTCTGATGAGCAGAATCAACTTTTTGGGACTTGGATGATTGAGCATACTTCAAGATAATGATTTTGTTGCTCCAAAATTAGTATTTAGTGTTGGTGCTTGCACTATGAATCTATAAATCTTGGGTTTCTGTCTTGTTTTCTTGCTGTTTGTTACTGATGATGAATCACTGATCGGCTCTCCTGTTATTGTATTCATTTCTTTGCAGTGCCAGAAAACTTTGCAGCGGTTTTGGAAGGCTACACGAAGCAGGGTTTCAGAGTCATTGCTCTCGCTCATCGGCGGCTCGAATCAAAACTTACTTGGCACAAGGTCCAGAACATCAACAGGTAGCGTACTTTGCATTGATGTAATACATGCATTCTGTGATCTGAATAAGAAAATAAAGGGAAGTGGCTCTGTGTGGAACCAAAAAATATCTACTCAAACATATTTTAATGAGAGATAATTTACTGGGAAGAAATACATGTTTAATATGGGGATTTTGTTAGACACAAACACATTCATATGTCTTTCTTTGAATTAGGGATCACATAGAAGCAAACATGGAGTTCCTGGGTCTCATCATCATGCAGAACAAGCTGAAGCCAGAAACTCCAGGGGTGCTGCAGGACCTTCATCAAGCCAACATTCGCACAGTCATGGTTACTGGTGAGAACACGCTGGTATTTTCCATCATTGCATAACAAATGAGAGGTCACAGGTATGCCAGCAATAGTTTACTCTGCGTGTATAGTTTAACCAGCGGTTCCTGTCTAGACTCACTGTACTTGGCTGTGAATCAAATTCACCTTTGAACCTTAAAAAGAATCGATTGTTTCACAATGGATCGATGGTTTGCACGTACTCTGGCTCACTTTTAACCTGTTGTTTGCAAGCTCATCCATCTCCATTAGCCCCCAAACTCTACTGTGGTGTCACTTAGGGTGAGGTGACACTGAGCTTGTATTTCATCATTCATAATTCATCATCTATCATCAGTCACAGCCAAGCGAACCCTTGGGTAACTTATTTATAACCCAAGGCTGAAGATGAAAACATGACAAGCAAATGACTGAATTGTGGGATGTTATAGCAAAATTAATATTGTGATCACTTTGCAGGTGACAACATGCTGACGGCCATCTCTGTGGCCCGCGACTGCGGAATGATCCCTCCCCAGGACACAGTCATAATTGCCGATGCCCTCCCTCCACACGACGGACAAGCCGCCAAGATCACCTGGAGATACGCCGACAAACCTCGCAATGCATCCCGACTTCAGGTGAATCGATGGGTCTAATTCTAACACTGGTACAAC